CCTTCTTCCCTTCTCGCTCTTTATTTCCCTCCTTCTTTCCTTTTCTTTCTTTTCCTCTTTCCTTCTCTTTAACTCCTTCGTTCCTTCTCTCTACACTCTCTCTCTTTCCTTCCCTCTTTCCTCCTTCTACGGCCCAACTCTAGTGAGAAGGGGTTTAAACTTCTCTCTTCGCTTCCCCCCCCCCCCGCTGGCTGGGGAAAGGAAGGGGAGGCTTTTGAATATGCCTCCCCCCCTTTTCCTTCCCCTTCTGACATCACTTCCGGTGATGTCAGGGGCCGTTGCATATGCTAATGAGTTATGCTAATAGCCTAGTAGCTCATTAGCATACCATATGTTAATGAGCTCCTCCAACTCTTTTTCTAGGAAAAGACCCCTGCTGGAGCCATTCCCACAACTGCCAGCTCAAGCTTAGTTATGGATGTATGGAGACTACATTATAAACTGAGAATGCAATCACCTGGACATTTAGTGCATTTCCAGCAAATCCTATGCAGAGTTAATTCTATGCAGGGTTTAGACTGGAATGAAATTAATCTGCAGTTTTCAGAGGAATCTAAAACTGAGGCTGTAACACAGAATGTACGACTGAATGGGGACAGCAAAAGTATGGAAACATTTTCTAGCTCCTTTTCTGTTTCATCCATCAGTCAAAGCCAACAACAAGTGAATGTTTACAGCTTTTCTGTTTTTCAAGGATACAATGAATAATTTCTTTATCCCATCCTCAAAGTTGTGTATGTTTGTTTTCTAAATAGGACATTATTTCTCACTTTAGGTCCCAGTCAGTGATGACTTGCAAGTATTACAGCAGTATTTAAGTACTGTGCAATTAAAAAAGAAAAAAAAAGAAAAATTAATTTCAAGCAAGTATGCAATCTTTTAAAAGAAAAAGCTAGTTAAGGAAAACTCAGCGCAGGCTGAAACTAGATAATTGTGTTAGACATAGAAGGGCAGGGGGTTTCCAACTAGGTCTGTAGGGTTCCAGCCTGGGTGTAGCTTATTTCTACACTGCCATGTAGAACTATGGTTGTCACATGAGCTGGATGACCCCTCGTCACTGTCGCTGGTCCCCTGCTGCTCCGACCTATAAGCCACCACAACCTGTCACCCGGGAAGTGGAAGAGGGGAACCATAGAGACCTCAGACAGTCGGGAGGGGAGGAGGTTACGTCACCACCCTTCATCATACACCCTTGGCATATTCAGGCTGCTCCTTCTCTCTCTCCCGCCCTTAGTGCCGCCAGTGCCGTTTCATCCTTCTCGGCCTCTGTTCCTGTTCCCCTTTTTATTCCTGCTCCGTGATACCTGCTCTGCCCGAAGTTCCACCATCCACCCACCACTTTGGCCCCGCCCTCCCTTCTTAGGCTAGGGCGCTGAGCTGGGGGCGCGGTCTCCTTCCGGTTCCCTCTCTCCAGCCCCAGCAGCTGTGCTCTCCTCACATCTCTCTCCCTTCAGCCAGCTTGGGGCTGAGGGCGTGACCTCGCGCCGGGCCAGCCCCCCGTTCCAGGACATCTCCTTCTGAAGCCGGGTCTCCACCACTGGGAGTCCGGCCCGGGCGCCTCGGAGGCATCTCCTTGGGTCCTGGGGACGACGGCGTTGGTGCGGCTGGTCGGCTCCAGGCCTCGGTAAGTGCTGCTGAGGTCGGGGCTGGGGTGGTTGGCAGTTCCCGAGTCCCGAGCGGCAGAGGCCAGCCCTGGGGAGGTTCGCCCTCGGGACAATGGTATGATATGGTTATGGACCATGGCTTCCACTGGGCAGTGCTTCAATAGCACAGGGATGATTCTGCATAGAAACATGATTTGCTTTGGGAGGGGAAAAGAGTAAATGGTTAAACCTTTGATTCAGGTGGGTTGCCGTGTTGGTCTGAAGCAACAGAACAAAGTTTGAGTCCAGTGGCACCTCTAAGACCAACAAAGTTGAATTCTGAATATAAGCTTCTGACACTCCTATCTTCTTTAAAAGTACACAGCTTCCTTTTCAAACAGTTCAGTCCTACACAGTTACACAGAGTTACACAGTTTCTAAGACCACTGACTTCAGTGGACTTAGAAGGGTGTAACTGTGCTTATTGCTTACTGTAGGTGACTTTGAAAAGAAATTCAATACAAATTATAAGCTACCGCATTGGGCATTGGATGGATCCAAAAATAATAAAAATATGGTCAAGTGAGCAATCAAATACTGGACAATTTTTGTAAAGCATTAACTTTGTTAGAACAATAAAGATATCTGTATGGAGAACTGTAGCATAAATACTTAAATAAAAAAGTCAAACATAAAATACTTTATACAGGTTTGATACTTCTGCTCCTTATAAAAGCAGCTTAGTTAACTGTTATTGTGGATCAAACTTTTAAAAAGCGTATTGACAGCTTTTAATAAGGTTAGTTCCTGTATGGAGATGCTGGCAAGTTATATTAGTCAGTGACGTGGGACAGAAAATTTTCTGATGCTGCATTTTTCCATGGACAATTTTCTGCCTCACGTATGAAAATACAGTCTTTTTATCTATCAGAGTTGCTATGTTGCAAATTATTCTATGGAAAATTTGACAGTCAGTCGTAGGGAACCAGAATCGATTGCTCATATTTTGCTTCGATGTGGATTTTATGTCAAAATACGGGATGTCTTAATTAGCCCTATTTTGCATAACAGACATAGCCTCCCAGATGTGAGACTTGTTTCCCTTCTCTTATTGGATCAGTGTTCCCATATTATCCATTCAGTAGTGAGGTTTCTTCTGATTGCTATGAGGATCGGGGAATATAAGATTAAAGTTCTGGAGAGATGACTGATTTTGATTGTACTCTGTATATTTAAACACTGGTTTTGTTTGATTTTAATCTATGCCAATAAAGGTACTGAATGACAAAGGTGGAACATTTCCTGGCCCGCATATGTACATATAGCCAGTTTATCTATGTCAACATTACTGTGCTGCAAATCAATCATGTCAGATATGCTATGTGCAGCATATGAAATATGGACAAATCCCAGTGACATTATTTAAATTCATCACCGAAATTATTTAAATTTGAATTGGAAAATTTTCTTATTCGAATCCCCCCCCCAAACCCGACGTCACTGACAGCAGGTGGTGAGTAGAAGCTTTGCTAACTTGCTAGATTTGTCCCCAACAGCTCCCTCACACTTCTGTATGGAGCACAGGTCCATCAGTGGTTATTAGCCACAAGGTATAGATAGGAACTCTCAGTCTGGGGCAAGTGATGCTCTGTATTCTTGGTGCTTGGGGGGGGGGAGTAACAGTGGGAGGGCTTCTAGTGTCCTGGCCCCACTGCTGGATCTCCTGATGGCATCTGGTATTTTTGTCCACTGTGTGACAGAGTGTTGGACTGGATGGGCCACTGGCCTGATCCAACATTGGCTTCTCTGATGTTCTTATGTTAATGAATAACTCTACAAATAAATAATAAAGGAAAGCACAGGGGCACTCTTGACTTCCAGAAATATTTGACCACAATCAAATAACAGGTAATCAGCTGACAATATTTTGGCCATTTGTTTGACAGACATGCAATCCTTTGTATGCCTCAGTGAGCTGTTTACCGTATTCGAATATTTGGCCAAAATACCAATTTGTTCAATATCTGTATTCCTAAAACTCTGAAACGCTTACCCAGTATGTGACGAGTACACCTTCTGTTCCCATTTATTGCCAGAAAAAGCAATATGCCTTGTATTTATTACGACAGCATGATCTCCAAGGTCACCTAATTTAAAAAACAAAAAAGGTCTTGGTTAATAAGATCACCTGTAACCTAAGAACTCTAATTATGCAGAACAACATTGTTAATGGTTCTCAGCATGAAATGATTCATACAAAATACCAGAAACATAAGTACTGTGCCGCAATGTCACACAAGCACTACAGTCCAGTTGGAGAGCACATTGCGAACACATAAGACCCACTTACTTAGTGCGTGGTACACAGGCTTATGCTTCCCTTGAAGTATGATCTTGCACATTTCTGCAATTTTTCCAGGTGGCTGCATCTTTGCATCCAAGAGATACCAGGTTCGAGCAAATGTGGCCCATTGCTGAGAAAGAATCGGAGAGCCGTTAATGCAGTGAAACAGATATACTGTAACAAAATGGCCTAAATCCCATCATATTTTGCCTGATGCTTTGAAAATTACGAATTTAAGAGGTTTTTTTAAAAAATAACCTTGCTCACAAGCAATGTTCCCTCTAAGCCGTGGAGTCTTGTGAGCAAAAATTCTACTTTGTGAGCTACTGGCATTAAAGTTGTGAGCAAGCGATTTGGCTGCTACATAACTTAGTTTCCTCTACAGCCATCCTTCCTGAGCTGAGACAAAAAAACATGTGTGAGCTGGAGGCTAAAAAATGGTGAGCTAGCTCACACTAACTCAGCTTAGAGGGAACACTGCTCACAAGATCTAAGTCACAAGATGTGCAACAGAGCTGCTGCATTAAAGTACAATATAGGGGCCTACACAGCAACTTAATGACTGAAGATCTTTTGACTTCGCAAAGGCGTAGAAAAGGGGAAAAGCAACAAAATTATCACCTTTAAGACAAGCAAAGTTTTATTTCAGGTATGAGCTTTCATATTCATGCACACTTCGTCAGGTGTCATCGTCTGAAGAAGTGTGCCTGCACAGGAAACCTCACACCTTGAATATAAAACTTTGTTGGTCTGAAAGGTGCCATCGGGCTCTAACACACATATAATAGTGAGAGATAAAATGCACAGAAAACAGATACCAACGCCGAAATTTAAATCGGGGGCATTAAAAAATAAAATAAAAATAAAGCTCTGTTCGCTCGGTATCGAAGTGCCATCGGGCTCTAACACACATATGTGAGAGATAAAATGTACCGAACACAGATACCAACGCCGAAATTTAGATCGGGGGCATTAAAAAAAAAATTAAAAATAAAGCTCTGTTCGCTCGGTATCGAGCCCACTGAAGGCAACGGGGCCTACTCCCGAGTAAACATCACGGGATTGCAGCCGGGGGGGGCCCAGCAATTTCCGAGGCGAGTCCCCGAGGCGAAGAGCGGAGGGGGAGAGGAGGCGCCCTTACCTGCGCGGCCTTACTGTAGCTCGACATGGCCGAGGGAACAGGCGGCCGCGTTTCTGAGGGAAGCGTCGCCCGGCCTGGAGGCGGAAAGAGAAGGGCGGCCTTAGCCGCAGCAGCAGCACCGGCCTGGGCGGGCGGCGGGAAGCGGAAGAGCCTCCTCCGCCGGAGGAGGAGCCTGATGCCGCGGCGCGGGGCTTTCGAAGGAAGACGGGAGGCGGCGATTGCTGAGGGGGCGGCGGGCCGGGCCGGGCCACCACAATGGACCGCTACCTTCTCTTCATGAGCTGGCGAGGCGAGGGGGGACCCGAAGGCCCCTCAGGTGAAGCCTCAAGACGGAATGGGGGGCGTGGAGGGGAGGGGGGGGAATAGCAGCGGCTGTCTGAGGGAAACTTGTCTGTTCGCAGGTACCGGGTACCGGGGCGGGTGGGGGGGATGTTTAAGCGGTGTTAGTTCGTCTGTTGCAGGAAAAATAGCCGCGAATCTTGTGGCAGTTTGGAGGTAGGAAGTGCCCTTGAAGCCGCAGCCGACCCTTGCAGGTAGATCAAGATGGGTAGCCGCGTTAGTCTGCCCGGTAGGTAGCAGGAGAAAAGAGTGAGAGTCCAGTAGCGCCTTTGTTGTTGTTGTTGTTCAGTCGCACAGTCGAGTCCGACTCTTCGCGACCCCATGGACCAGACCCCGCCAGGCCCTCCTGTCCTCCGCCGTCCTCTGACGTTGGCTCGACTTCATGTTCGTTGCACCTATGACCAATGTTCCCTCTAAGCTGTGGAGTCTTGTGAGCAAAAATTCTACTTTGTGAGCTCTTGGCATTCAGGTTGTGAGCGAGCGATTTGGCTGCTGCGGAAATTAATTTGCTCTGGAGCCATCCTTCCTGAGCTAAGATAAAAATGTGTGAGCCGGAGGCTAAAAAACTGTGAGCTGGCTCACACTAACTCAGCTTAGAGGGGACACTGTCTACGACACTGTCTAACCATCTCATCCTTTGCCGTCCCCGTCTTCTTTGACCTTCAATCTTTCCCAGCTTCAGGGTCTTCTCCAGGGAGTGCTCCCTTCTCATTGGGTGGCCAAAGTATTTGAGCTTCAGTTTCATTATCTGGCCTTCCAGGGAACAGTCAGGGTTGATTCCCTTTAGGGTTGACTGATTTGATCTTCTTGCAGTCCAGGGGCCTTAAAGACTAACAAAATTTCTGGCAGGGTGGGAGCTTTTTTGTGAGTCACCGCTCACTTCTTCAGATCAGGCAAGAAGTTACAGAGACGTACATTATCCATATGGAGATAGACCAAGATGGGTAGCCGGGTTAGTATCTCTCTAGCAGTAGAAAAAGAGCAAGAGTCCAGGAGCACCCGAAAGACTAACAACATTTGTACCAGACAGCTTTTGGGAAATGGAGGCTGCCGGCATCTGTCTGTTTCATCCTTTGAGATGCTCGGAAACCTTTGTCTGTTCATTCCATTTGTATCCTGCCACATTGCTTTAGAAATGCTCCAAGGAAACCAACATAAAGTTAAAAACAAACCAGGAAGGCAACTAGCAGCAGGGTTTCTTTACAGGGGGCTGGCAAGGGAGAAGACCCCATGTGGTGCATTTGCATTAACCATGTGTGTGTGAGTGTGAAGTGCCTTCAAGTTGCTCCCAACTTTGCATTCATCCTAAAATGCATTTATGTTTAAAAATGGGGGGGGGGACGCCAGAAGGTGTCCTCGCCTAGTGTGCAAAAAAACCTGAGCTTTTTGAGTCACTGCTCACCTCTTCAGATATCTGAAGAAATGAGCAGTGACTCACAAAAGCTCCTACCCTACTACAAATATTTTGTTAGTCTTTAAGGTGCTACTGGGCTCTTGCTCTTTTGTACCAACCCCGTAGGGTTTGCAACCCGGGGATCTCCTGGGATTACAGCTCATCTCCAGGCTACAGAAATTAGTTCCCCTGGGGGGAATGGGTGCTTTGGAGGGTGGCCTCTAGGGCATTGTATCCCACTGAGGTCCCTGTCCTCCCCTGGCTCTACCTCCAAATCTCCAGGGATCTCCCAAACTGGATTGGGCAATCCTAGCCCCCCCCCCACTCCTCCCGCTGGTGGCCAGGGGGGGGACCTGGCAACCCTATTTTCAAGTCAGGAGATGAGCAGAGGCAGTTTGCCATTGCCTGCCATTGCATAGCAACCCTGGACTTTTCTTGGTGGTCTCCTGACCAAGTCCTAAGCAGGGCTGAAACTGCTTAGGTTCCAAGATCTGAGGAGATTGGGCTAGCTTGGGCCATCCAGGTCAGGGCTGTGACATCTTAAAAGGCTAACAAGATGTTATTCCAGCAGACGGGTTTGTGTATTTCTTAAACCTTAAGTATTTCCTGCCTTTTCAGATAGAACTAGGGATGTAAAATTTCCGGAAATTTTGAAGCTCAGAAAAAAAAACCTTTTCCCCCCAGTTTTTTTCGGGGGGAAAACGGAAATTTTTGGGGAAATTGAAAAAAATGCTACATTAGCATTTCTTTTGTCTTTTCTAGATTGAAAGTCATTCTGTTACTTTAGGAACATAAAATATGACTATGGACATTTTTACTTGGCATGAAATTATCACAACTAGCATATTAAAAATATAGTGTATCCAAACAATTATTACAAACAGAATACCCACCCACATGCAAAAACAAAACTGAAACTTTTTTATTTTCTTCTGACAATCGCACCTCCTAAAGGAAGAAATGCATCTTGTTCTTGCATTGGAGAGTTCAGTTTGTAACCTAGGACTTAATTGTCCTCAGCCATAAACTTTTTTTTTCTTTTCTTTTTTCAATTTTTCCAATTTTTTGGAAAAAAACAAAAAAAGCCTGCAGGAAAAAAACGGGAAAAAAGCTGTTTTTTCCCCGAATTTTTCCGGTTTTTTTCCGGGCCTTCACATCTCTAGATAGAACCAGTGGACCCCCTCTGTGCACACATTTTCGGTAACAGGCATTATGCAAAATGGCACTATAGAGAGAAAAATAAAACTGAAGTCCAGCGGCACCTTAAAAACTAACAACATTTGCTTTGTCTAAGATGCTTTTGTTTTATTTTGTTACAGCCAACTACAGTTATGGGTAGTAAGAAGCCCATCACAGAATTTGAAGAAATGGTTTATAGTCGATAAAAACTTGTGCTGGATCAACAACATCTATTGTATTTGTTTGTAGAGTTCCAGAACAGTCAGTGTGTTTCAACAAGAGCAGACAGAAATCTTGTTGCCTCTTAATAACACTAACACATTTTTAATCCTAGCAGAGGCTTTTGTGGGATAGGGTCTGTTTTTTTCAGGTGTGATGAATATGACTATGCAGATGTGTAGGAGATATCGACCCTGTTCTATGTGTGTCATAGCTGAACCAGTAAGACTTGCATGACTGAATGTTCCTTCAAAAGTTCCTTACTCATAGCAAACTAGCATGTCAGTACTCTTCTACCTGAGATGTTAGCTTTCTGTGTGCAGGAAATTTTTTGTACAGAAGGTCTTTCGATCATGTGAAGCCTTGTGTGCACTCTAAAGTGGTACAGCCCAGACATAAGGGTACCACCTAATTCATTCTTTATGAGGCCTGGGTCTGTGGCTTTTAAATCATGTCGGGGCTCAGTCCTTCAGTCTATACAATAAGCATTGGCTGATCTTGAATACTAATTGAATTGGATATGCAATAAGAATAGATGAAACTAAGTCCCAATACATGAGCATGCATGCTGCTGGACATTAATGGTTTGAATGTACAGACTTTTGTTCATCTGATGTTTCAATGAACATAAGCATAAATTTATATTTTTCAGGTTTGACAGCTGCCGGTATTTATGACTTACTGGAGATAAACTGTAATGCCTCTGTAAATGCAGAACTTGAACAGTTCCCTGGTAAGTGAAGCATCAAATAGTAATAAAATCTACAAGTTATCTATGTTAGTCTGTTATAGCAAAATAAGAAAGCCTTGTAGCATGTGAAAGGCTAACAGATCTTATATGGCATACAGTTAGTCCATTCCAGATGCATAATGTCCCTCATTTTGTGGAATCCCTTCAGCTGGCACTTGTTCATTTCCTCCACCCTTTAAAAAAATTGAAATAGTAGGGTCAAAAGTCAATTGAAGTACAAGAAATTGAGTCTGTGACATTACTCTTCCTCTCACTTTTAATTGGCTTTGACTTCACTATTTGCAGTTTCTGTATATCATTGTTTACCAACAGAGGGCACTTTTTGCAGCTGATCAAGTGGATTCTGGTTTGCAAAAGGTAACACCATAATGAATCTCTTCATTAGCATTTAGTAATGTAAGAAAATTATCAGACAACATGGAGTAAAACAACACAGTATGGTGGCAGAGCTTCTGCTTGTCATGCAGAAGGTTCCAGGTTCAATCCTTGGCCTCTCCAGTTGAAAGGACCAGGCAGTAGGTGATGTGAAAGTAGACCTAAGACCCTGGAGAAATGCAGCCAGACTAAGTGGAAAATGCTTGATGAGCCAACGGTCTGGTTCAGTAAAAGGCAACTTCATGTGTCTATGTATACCAGTAAGAAAACAGGGTGCTAAAATATATATATTGTTGATGTTGAGGGTGTCTGTTGTGGAGAGAAGGGAAGGAGACCGTAAGAAGCTCTGAGACTTGAGTGAAGGATGGGGTATAAATCCAGCTCTCCTCCTCCTTCGCGTTTACTGATAGGCTGTTGTTTGTCAGGCTGAAAGAAAATCTTTCTGTTTTTAAATATTTTGGGGGTTGTGTTTGAAATAACGAAATATTATTCCGAGAAACCAAATTATGCTTTGCAAAGTTCACGACATCATGTTGCTGGAAATACTATGAGTACAGATATGGAATCTGAGCAAGCAAGGAAACCTTTTTCATGTGAGCACTTAGGAGGTGTGACTACAGGGAAGTAAGAAGGGATAGTGAAGGATGCAGGCAGCCATGACACTTACCAAAAATAATATTGTATTTTTTTTAGTTATCAGTGTTTTAATGTAACAAAAAGGGAGCAGTTTTCTGCATCTGACACATTGTTTGAGTCCCTGAATGTCTAGTTCAACCAATGAGATGTATCCAGCATCTCTGGAGAAAGAAATGAGAGCTAAGCATTTCTTTTTTTCCCCCCCTTTTCTGTGTGTGTTTTCTGTATGGTAATGGGCCTCTATTTCTCTTTTAGCATGTTCACTTGCTGGCGCTCCAGATGTGAGGGAATGGTATTTTGCAATTCAGTCAATATGTGGATTTTATCAGGTAGGTCGTGGGTTATCTAGTCACATAATTATCCAAAATGTTGGTGTAAACTTGACCTTATGGAATTTTATTTTTAATTCAATAGTTCTGTAGTACTGACTGGGAAGAGATCAGCTTTGACCTACTGGCAGATCAAAGCAACGACTCTGTTCGAAGATATATTGAAGAATGCCTCGGTGGTGATCAAAATATTGATAAGGAAGACAGTAATAGCAGAGAAGCCATGTCAGTGACTGAGTAAGTTGACAACTTTGAAATTGCTGTATTTATCTACTGATTTACCAATACCAGTGCAATTTAAGAACCAGAATTGTGGAAATTAACATTTTTTTCATTGGTGACTTCAGAGGCTTGGAGATTATGCCTTGTGATGAGAGATCCACTGCCAGGTAGGCGTACTGTTGAGCAGAGTGAAGAGGTATTATAATATTGGCCATTTTGTTTTCACTCCTTTCCCTAATAATCTCCAGCATGTTTGCCTTTCTCACTGCTGCCTCACACAGAGTTGACATTTTCATCAAGCTGACCACCACAAGTCCCAGCATCTCCTGCCTTCTCATTCTCGGACAGTTCAGGCCCCATCAGCATATATTTAAAGCTAGAGGTTTTTTGTTCCTATTTATTTGTTTATACTCTGCTGTTCTCTCCAGCGGGGATGCATCATTCTCCTCTTCCTTCATTTTATCCTCCTCATTCTCCTCTCCCTTCATTTTATCCTCCTCATTCTCCTCTCCTTCATTTTATCCTCCTCATTCTCCTCTCCTTCATTTTATCCTCCTCATTCTCCTCTCCCTTCATTTTATCCTCACAACAACTCTGTGAAGTAGGCTGGGCTGACTGGCCACGGTCACCCAGCAAGCTTCCGTGGCAGAGTGAGGGTACAAACCCGGGTCTCCCAGATCCTAATCCAGCACCTGAACTACTACAGCACTTACCTGTACTAAATGGGTGTCCGAATCCTCCACACGTTCAATTGAATACACGTTTATATCAAAGTAGTATTTATTGAAGTAATGAAGAAAGCTTGTACACAGGAAACTGTTTGGAATGGTCAGGAAATGCAGGGCACCAGTTAATAAACGAATTCATAAAATGCAATAACCAATAATCATGGTTCCCGCTTCCACGGGTGCTTCCAAAACTCGCGCCGAAAGCCTGGGAAGTGAAACGGTTCTAAAAGATAAACAATTACTAGCTTCTCATGACCTAGCTCATTATACCATACGCGAAGACACAACTCCAACTCCACACCTGTTGACCTTGCAGATAACTACTGCAACAGCAGTATTAGCGTACATAGAAAGGAATGCAGATTGCAGACTGCTGGTAGCATACATGCGCAGTGGGGTTGGGGGGAAGCCAGGGAGGGCAGAGATGGGTGTACAAAGGTTACACAGAGTTCTTTGGCAGCTTGCTGACAATGGGGAGGAGAGGGAAATGACTGGTCATGGGATCAGGGAGGAGAAGGCATGTTTGCGTGCGATAAACTGCTTTTCTTATTAGAGCAGAACAGGGATTGTAAAAGGAGTCTGAGAGTGTTGTATGAGCAGCTCCCCGTCCAAGGCCTTCAGTCCATGGCCTAGTTTGCGAAGGTGTGCTGTGTGCAGGTTTAGTTTAGTTTATTCAACTTGTATCCCGCCCTCCCCGCCGAAGCAGGCTCAGGATAGCTTACACAATGTTATAGCAGATAAGCAATTCATTAGATAAAATTACAATAAAATAGATCCAGTTTGTTAATTATAAGTCATATCCTTTTAAGCAGGATCCCATAGGATGATTCAATGTAGCCATGAAGCATTAAGACAATCCATATGGCTACAAAAATGGCGGCACATAAACAGTTCTAAGTACAGCATACATCACACCTTTTTGAGAAAATGGGAAAGGCCCTACTTTATTCAGCCAAAGCTTCATCCAGTTCATGTGTTGGCTGTCCTGTTTTGACACATTGCTTCTGAGCCATGGAATTTTCATACAGTCGTCGTGGTTAATAGTGATTGTTAGGTGGACTGGGCAGTTCTAATCCCATTGACTTTGCTCTTCTTAGGATGGCACTTTTAGCCTCCCTGAATTTGTCTCTTTTAAAACCTGTGCTAGCGGCCATCTCTACATGTTGTGGCAGTGAGTTCCATGTGTCAGTTTCGTGGTACGTGTCCTGAATCCATTTAACTGTGTGAACACAAGTTCTAGTAATAAAGGGCAAAACAATTCTGTCTGTAAATTTTCAGTACTTTGCATGGCTTTATGAATAGCTGCTGTATGTCCTCTCCCCCTCCCCTTAATTGTTTTTTTAACTAAACAGCCCCAAACCTTGTATTTTTTGTAAGGAAAATGCCCAGCTCCTTGATCATTTTGGTTGCATATTTCTACATAATTTGCTACTCTGTAATATTCTCTCGAGATGGAGCTACCAGAACCACAATATTTCAAATGCGACAATACGTGTTACTTGCTAGTTTTATTTTCCATTGTTTTTCTAATAATTCATAAAATTGAATACATTTTTTTGTTTGTTTGTTTCTGCTACTCACTGACGTGTCATTTTCAGGGTCTTTTCCCTGGTTTGCCTCTACTCCATCTATGTGTCATAACTTTACATTTATTTCCCCTGTGTCTCATTTGCTGCATTGTTGCCCATTCTCCCTGTCTGAAGAAAGGCTTTCCATCTTGCTTTGGCTGCAGATAATGTAGTGCCATATACAAAATTTTATACCTCACTTTTTGCCCCATTCCAGATTGCTTAAGAAAAAAACCCACATACCTGAGAGCCTACAGGTCCCTGGGGGTGTCCCATCACTTACTTCCCTCCAGTTATGAGAACTGCGTATTTTGCTTATTGGTTCCTGGCCTTTCTCCCCAGTGGGGCCCAAAATGGCTTACATCTTTCTTTTCTCGTCCATTCAACGACCACTGAAGTAGGTTAGCCTGAGGTTGCATTACAAACCAAAGGTCACCGAGCAAGCTGTCATGGCAGAGTGGGGTTTCAAACCTGGGTCTCTAAGATCCAAATCCAACACACTACCCCCCTATACCGCACACCGCACTTATCTTCATACACTTACCTTCTGCTGCCTGTTATTTATCCAGTTACTAATCTGTTGTTATCTTCTAAGTATCTGGCTTCTCAATAACTTATGTAGTGTTTGAACTGGCAGAAAGTGAAGTATGTCAAGATCCATATAAGTGTTGGTGGCTATCAGTAGGGCCATCCTGAATATCTCCGTATTATTTGGCGGCTGCTTTTAGTAGCAAAAATATAAATGCCAACACAAGGGGGAGCCAGTCAGTCAATCTTGGAATCATAGCAATCAATACGGCAGTTATCTCTTTAACCTTTCAGGTGTAGTAACAAACCTGAAAGTGCTTATGAAGGGTAATGTACACTCCCCCCCCCCCCCCCCCCGCCATAAAGGATCTGGCAGTCCTATCGCGTGTTTAATATTTTGTATACATTTTTTACCTTGGCTTAGATGGCCCAAGGAGCTGCGGTGGCTCAAGTGGTTAAGACGCTGAACTGCAGGCTGTGGAAGGTCGGTAGTTCAGCGGTTCGAGACCCGAGTGCCGCAGGACGGAATGAGCTCCCGTCTCTACTTCCAGCTCCTGCCAACCTAGCAGTTCGAAAGCAAGAAATTGCAAGTAGATAAATAGGTACCACTTCAGTGGGAAGGTAACAGCGTTCCGTGCGCCTTGGTGTTTAGTCATGCCGGCCACATGACCACGGAAATGTCTTCGGACAGCGCTGGCTCTTCGGCTTTGAAACGGAGATGAGCACCACAACCCTAGAGTCGGATTCGACTGGCTTTCGAGCAAGGGACCCTTTACCTTTACTAGATGGCCCAGGCTAGCCCAATTTCATCAGATCACAGAAGCTAAGCAAGTTTGGTCCTGGCTCGTACTTGGATGGGAGACCACCTGAGAAATCCAGGGTCGCTACACAGAGGCAGGCAATAGCAAACCACCTCTGTCTCTTGCTTTGAAGCATGGGAGTCAAACCCTAAGCCCAGGGGGCTGTGAGCAACTAGTGCGAGGGAAGGAACAGGAAACTGTTCACGGGGAGTGGGAGGAGCCACTCCAATTGTAGCTTCAGCATGATGGAACAATCTCGTCTGCAGCAGTCAAGCAGCGTGGGAGCGTCTGCCCAGTGCTGCACCACCGGCTCTCCAGTCCGTCCATATGCGTTTTCCTCTGCACCCACTTCCCAGCCCAGGGGGCCTTTCAGTGAGGGTACACGAACTCGGAACTTACCAGCTGCTGCCCTTTATATAGTTTATATCTCCACTACCTGGCATTACGATTTAGGGCACACATGGCTCGGCCCGACAAAGTGACATTTGTTTCAGATCCAGCTCTCGTAACAAATGAATTTGACACCTCTGCTCCATGGGGTCTTCATCAGTTGGCTGTGACTCGGTATGGTTTTTATCTGCTAGCACACATTTTTTTCCAATATCAGGTTCAGACTTGCCCCAGGGAATAGCTCTGCTGTTAACCAATAACATGATTCAACTATCCGTTGCGTGCAGTTGTAATACATTATTTATGAAGTCAGGTTTTTAAAGAGTCTCTTGAAGGGAAGAATGTGATTGGACGGAATTGTACTCTTACTCTTGTTCTGCTGTTGACGTTACTCTGTCTTGGGGCAGTGGAGCCTTGCTACGAAGGACACAGGCTTCGGAGGAGAGGAGAGTTCTGAGGGGGAGAGAAAACGGCCCATATTTTGCAGAAGCAGCTATCCCCTAAGAGCTAGGTGTTCCTTCATAACAGTAACTGATTGTGCTGCGGCCATACGTGATTGTTCTTTCTCCTTTGAGGGGGCAAAAATCAAGCAAGTTCGCCACATGATTGGGCATTGTTGTAGAGTGCTTGATTTGTGTGTTCTCTGAAGTATGAAGGAGAAGAAAGGGGAAACCACTCCACTATGCAGACCGCCAGCTTATGAACTGGCGAGGGGTAGGGGGTGAGAAAGTGCACATCAAGGTGGGGGGGGGGGAGGAATTGTGAGTGTTGCAATTCACCCGTCAACAAAACTACCTCAGCAAAGAGCACCTTCTGCGGTTAGATTTTTCAGATCCTGTAAGGCAGGCTGTGGAAGGTCAGTAGTTCAGCAGTTCGAGACCCGGGTGCCGCATGATGGAGTGAGCTCCCATCTCTAGTTCCAGCTCCTGCCAACCTAGCAGTTCGAAAGCAAGAAATTGCAAGTAGATAAATAGGTACCACTTCGGTGGGAAGGTCACAGCATTCCGTGCGCCTTGCTGTTTAGTCATGCCGGCCACATGACCACGGAAACGTCTTCGGACAGCGCTGGCTCTTCGGCTTTGAAACGGAGATGAGCACCGCAACCCTAGAGTCGGACTTGACTGGCTTTCAAGCAAGGGAACCTTTACCGTTTTAAGGCACTTTTATTCCAGTGACCCCTCTTTGATTGGGCTCTTTGGGCTTTGGACTGTGCTTTGATATTTGTACTTACTATTTTGGAGGAGGTGTTTTGATATGAAGTGCTGCTGTTCTGATGTTTCAACAATGCTTGTTCTTGAGGTCTTGAGAAGTTTAATATTTTATCTCTCATGATGGCATCTTCCATTGTAATTGAGGAGAGAGATGATTTTTGAAAAAAATAAACAAACTTCTCTCAGAAGTTAATTTAGATCTGTTTTCTTGGTCTGTTGCAATTCTGGTGTTTGGACTGCATAATGCTTTGAATATGTTAGAGCTGGAAAAATGCTCACTTATTTCCAATATATATATATTTTGAATTTTAGACTCTATGAAGAATCTGCTGAGAATATACATCAGTTAGCAGACAAGCTTCCTGCTCCTGGTAATAGTTTTTGGAAAATGGAAAGTCTGTATTTTCTCATCTTTTGTAAAAATGTCGTCCGTTCCCCCCCCCCCCCCCCCCCCGCTCTTTGTGCTGTTGTATTTAAAATGTATGTCATGATCAGTGATGGGTTTTCCAGGAATATTTAAATCAGAAAAATTTCCAATTGGAATTTAAATAAATAATTTAAATCTCTAAATAATGTTAGCAAAAGTAGGCAAATACATTATGTACAGGCCTGGACTATATGCACTGGGGTTTGTCCATACTTTGTATTCTGCATTTAGCCCATCTAATGTAATGTAATTGATTCATAGCACAGCAGCACTGACAAACAGGCTATATGTTCGTATGTGGGGTTAAAAATTTTCCACGGAAAAATATAGCATTGGAAAGATTTCCACCCCATGTCACTCATTCTGCAATTCAATGTGTGAACTTTTATTTGAGTAGCTTTGTATGTTGTCTGTTCCACATTTAATCCATTCTGTATTACCAGAAAGTCTAATACTGTCACTGTCTGATGTTGTTCCTTTACCTTATTTATTTTGTATATTTCGTAGTCTGTGACTAAAATGGCAACAACCTTCCATATCACATTTAGTATCTGGCAAACAAGTAAAGAGAAGAAGTAGAATAATAGATATTGGGCATCATAACATAAATTATGTCAGCACTTAGCTATGGCTATGAAGGTGACTTTGTAGATGGGTTCCAGAAGGTGAAGATTCTGTTTGTTTGAAGGGTATAATATGGGAGATAATTATACCATTTACAGATGGCTGAAAGCATTAGAGGGGTGGAAGGAGGGTCATGAGGTAACATAAAGTGTGAGATGTAATAGAAACAAAATCTAGATTGCAAAGACAAGAAGAATCTTTTAAATATTACCAGTGAATCTTCAGGCAGGCTCAGAGAGCCATGCAATATACAGAAAAGAAAGATGGCTTTTGCTGTCTACAACATGGAGATTTTATATAAAAATATGTGCTGTAAGGTAATAAGTAGTTTGTTCTAAAGGCCCCTAAAAGGGGGAAAGGTGCATGCTGAAGAGGCGGAGTAAGGTAAACATTGGCTTTAGAGTGGTGTTTGATATCATGGGTCATATGATTTTTAACACAAATTAGGAAACAAGGTTGTTTTTTAAGAGGGGGGAATAAAGGATAGCAACTTTTAGAGAAAAGGTGGAAAATAACAGGGAAGGTTTGACAGCAAAGTGAGATTGTCTCTTAAACATATCGCTAGACTTGCATGTTTTGCAAATAGATGTCACAGAGACGGAGAATGTACTTATCAATTCTGACAAATCTTGTGCCTAAATTGCTCAGTGGTTGATTTGTGATAAACCAACATCTGTGTGTCTGTTGCTTGAAACTGAGTTATTCCTTTTCCAATTTGAAGTGCTTGAGTACCTATGTGTGTGTGTGATAAATTGTCTCTACAGGAAGAGCAATGGTTGATGTAATATTGCAGTCTTCGGAAAGAGATGCCCCAAGGTTAAATGACTGTTTACCAGTTATTGGTGCCTTGAAACATCTGAGAGAATGGCATGCAGCGAAAATCACTATTGTAGCAAAGGAAGGCAAGACGTGAGTTGTGTTATCCATATCCAAGAAGAGACCTGTTTAATTGTGTTGCTTTATGTAAAACAATATTTCATAAATGAAATTAATAAAGGCTGCACTCCATTAAAAAGGGGGGTCATAAGAGCATCTGCTTAGCATGCAGAAGGTCCCAGGTTCAATCCCTAATGTTTCCAGTTAGGTAGCAGGTGATGTGAAAGGCCTTCACCTGAGAGCGCTTCCAGTCTAAATAGAGAATACTGACGTTGATAGACCATCAGTCTGATTCAGTGTAAGGCAGCTTCAGGTATTCATGTAAAAACACTTCCCTGGGAGTTTGAATGAAATGGGGCTTATTTCTTAAAAGACCCGCCTAGTATTGCTCCCACAATATCCTGTTTCAGTAGACTCTTTTTAAAAATGCCAAAGGAGAAAACAAAAGTAGCATACTTTCAAAATGTCCATATTTTGGCTAACAAGAAAATATTAGCTTATCTTTCTTCCTGTTGACATTCATCTCTGCTTAGATTTATATTTTCATTTATACAATTCTGTCGGGATAACACCATATGAGGCTGTGAGTGTTTGGCAGCAAGAGGTAGTGTGCTCTGATGTCAAATTGGGCCTGAGCAGGTAACAGATTTTGTGGCCCCCTCAAGCTACCTTTGGCTTTTTCCCTGAGGAATTGGGGAACTTTGAATTCACAGGTAGATTGGTGAGGCCATAGATTTAAATCTGAAACTCACTGAGAAACTTTGGCACAATGAAGGCATATGAATGCCTACCAGTCATGGGCTTTTGAACGACATCTTGTGGATGCAAATTGGTACGGTGAGCAATGCTCCCTCTAAGCTCCAAACTATTGTGGGCAGAAATTCTACTTTGTGAGCTACTGGCATTAAAGTTGTGAGCGAGCGATTTGGCTACTGCTAAATTAGTTTGTTCTGGAGCCATCTTTCCTGAGCTAAGACAAAAATATGTGAGCCGGAGGCTAAAAAACTGTGAGCTAGCTCACATTAACTCAGCTTAGAGGGAACATTGACGGTGAGTCTAAGCCTTTTATTTAAAAAAACAAACAAACATTAAATGCTTGCTACTTAGATCTTTGAACAAAGTGTATGTGTTGGACATAATTTGTTACATTAAACTGGATTTAAGTACTGTATTTTCTGGTGTATAAGACTACTTTTTAACTCAGGGAAATCTTCTCAGAAATGGGGGGTCATCTTATACGCCGGTAAATACGATACTCTGGTCTTTCTATCGTTTTCAGTTGTACATGCTGCGCTTTGAGCGTAGCAAACAACCGAAAAACAAAACAAGTATATCCCAAACTCTATATTTTAACTGGAAAAGTTGGGGGTCGTCTTATACGCCGGAAAATACGGTACTATGTTTGCTTTCTAAAAGCTTTCTGCTTTTACAGTTCAATCCTGAACAGAGCTATACCATTCTAAGGGTGTTCAGAAGGCTGTATCTCTGCTTAAGATGCTAATGAAGTCCCTGTCAGGCTCATTCGTGTTTCAAGAGAGGGTGATAGTAGGATGTGTTGCTTGGGTTGTGGCAGATGCAAGAATAACTAAATAAATTTTATGCTCTTCATTATTACCCCTTTGCAGTTAGCCTGTTCCTGAAAGAAATTAACCATTATTTGTGGGGAAATAATTTGCTTAAATTAACTTTTTTATAAATCAGCTTATCACTCAGAGAGTTATGGAGACTGAGTGAAAGATCCCCCACTCATTCATGTTTTCTTCTTTTCATAGTTGGCAGAAAATTGCCGATTATCTGTCTGCACATATTGTGGCTCCTGAAAACCTAAACAATAGTATTGATCCAAGAGAACTATGGAGAGGAAGGATTCAGATATGGGAGCAAAAGGTACTATATTGCGACTGGTATGAACAACTGGAAATAAGAGAGGAGGAGGAACAAAAAGATGATTATGAAATAGACAGAGGTGTCGTCCTCTCTTATTCCCCACATCTGGAGATTTGGGGGCAGGGGGGAAAATTGTGAACAAAAGTAGCGGGAGGTGAAAATTAGGCAACACGTTCTGACCTTATTTATATGCTCCCCAAACCCTCAGGCCATTTGATGGGTAAATGATAGATGGGAAAACTTGCAACTCAACCCATTCAATACCAACTTGAGCACATATTCAAGAACGAGCTTGTGACTCTCCTTAAAACTACCCCTAACATTCAAACTTGGTACAAGAAGCTGTGGAATCAGTTCATTATGGAAAGCATCACTGATAAAGTTAACAGAAATAAAAGGAACGTCGTACATTTTGGGTTCGAAGCCAAATGGTTGCCAATTTTAGAAGCTCTATCAGACAAAAATATTATTTCAGTATCCTGGGATAACTATGTTAAATGGTTGTGAGGATTTTTTAATGGTTCAAATAAAGTACAGTAAGTAGGCTTTGGTAAAACTTGATTTGTGGGTAGTACTTTGTGTTTAATATGGTTAGATATATCATTGAATGTCTACAGATATTCTTGAGGGCAGAAGACACTTGGTTGTATCTAAAGCAACAAACAGTACAGGCATCAATTACAAATTGAGGCTAAAATAAGTCACTTTGTTCAAAGATTTATTGAAGAATGTATCATTCTTTAAAGCTTACTTTTTTGTAATTAGTGTGTTGGTTTGAATGTATAACTGTTCATATGACCTTTGTATATTTTTACTGTTATATTTGTTTTATTGTTTTAATCCTACCAATAAAATGTTAATGAGGAGGAAAAAAAACTACTTCTGCTGCAGTGTTCCCTCTAATCTGAGTTAGTGTGAGCTAGCTCACAGTTTTTTAGCCTCCAGCTCACAAATTTTTGTCTTAGCTCAGGAGGGATGGTTCCAGAGCAAACGAATTTATGCAGTAGCCAAATCTCTCACTCACAACTTTAATGCCAGTAGCCCACTAAGTAGAATTTTTGCTCACAAGACTCCAGAGCTTAGAGGGAGCTTTGCTCTGCTGTCCTAGAAATGCACCTTATACTTACCTTTGTTTTTATTACTGTAATGATTTATTTTAATTTTTTTAGTTTCTTTTTAAGGTTTTGCTTTAATGAATAATTTTTTTTTAAGTTCTGGCTTTTGCATTTATTTTCCTCTAAATACTCTGTCTTTCAGTTTGGCTCTGAAATTACCTTTCCAGATTTCTGTATAAGAAGTACTACAGCGGGAAGGCTATTCAGTACTTTGTATTTTGACAAAACTGAACGGACAAAGAGTACGAATGCTCGCTTGCCTAAGGTAAAAGCGTGCACTTGATCTTTCTCGGTCTGTATTGCAGTTGGCATTTCCCACCTATTTCCAGCAGTGGTCCCTACTACTACTCAGGGTGCTGCTTTGGAAAGCCTCCTGACTTCCAAGACAGAGGTTTTCAAGCTGTGCTGTGGGCTCCTACCGGGAGGGGGCACTGTGCATTGCTGATATTTTAGATCCCAGCCATAACTTACAGAACTTCTGTCCCATATTTTGGTTAGAAGAATTAATAACGTGTTTCAGATAAACAAAATAATATCAAAATAACTTTTTCAACTAAATGCCTTTCAGGTTTTCCTTTATTATAGTCCTGCATTGAAATTTGTACAGATGGTACGGCTGTCTGATATGCCTTCGTGTTTCGTGTCGGACCTTCACTTTGATCTGTATCCTTTTGTTGCCAAGTTCGTTTCGTTTGACAGGTGTTTTGAGTGCCCCTGATTACACTGGGCTAGTGGTGATATTTCCGGAGCAGGATATTTTTTGAGAGTTTTTGCATACATGAACACATACTTGGGCTTGATTTTGGCAGAGGAGGAAAAACTATAGCAAATATTCTCAAGTTGTTCTTTCTGGTTAGGTTTATTTTTATATAGTTAAGATTCAAGTCAATCAAAAAGCATCTGTGAAATATTGTATGTATAGATCAGGAATATAAATAGTTACAGCAATAGCAGTAAGAACAAGATGTTAAGGTTTATAATTATGAAACAGTGCCAAATGCTTCCAGCCATTGGCTAGAATTGTCCTGTATGGGTCATTGATATTCCTTATTCTAGAACCCTCACAAGAAACTGTTCCACAAATCCATATCATGTAGGACACTTAATTTGGGGCATGCAAATTTGAACTGTGTCTTAACAGAAAAGAAATGTGAAAGACTTCCTTCAAGAGGTATAACATTTTCCATATGCTGTGACTGTAAAAGGATTGTTTGGTTTCTTAATTAACCTGTCCCAGAGTTTTGGAACTTGATGAAATACCCTGCTTTGGCAAGTGAGATATTGAGCTATCTTCATAGAAGCTCATTGTTCTTTTGATTTAAATCATGAAAGCTGCAGTGATGCTCTTGCCAAGAAAGCTGAGCCTATACAATAGGGACTGAACTTCTGTCATGCACGTCTGTCCTGTGGCAACTTTTAAAAGAAAGCAAATAAATATAGGTGGACACTTTGTCTAAGTTCATATTTCATGCTCCCTGTAGATGCCTCCCTATATATCATGTTCTGAAATGCAATCCTTTTCTTTCTTTCTTTGTACAAAAAAGAAAGAAAAATATTGGTGTGAATTATTCCATTGCAGATATGGCCCTTCCGGGGAAAGCTTGCCTATATCTGGGCTAGTACATGCTGTTTTTCAAATATTCAGATTATATAGCACTGGGAAGTGCATGAACCAGAGGTATTTAAAACTTTAAGCAAAGCAAAGACACTGGAGTAAGATTCTGCTGTCTTTTGGTGAACATGGAGCTGTGTAGGGTATTTGAACATGACCAAATTTATGGGAAGCTCTCGGGAGAATAGGAATATCAGTAAGATCTAGAATTGTCTAATAAAGTTTCGTATGTGTATAGTACAGACCTACACTGATGGTCAGTCCATACAGCAGAGCTACATTCTGTTGTATTTACATAAATTTGGGGCTTTCAGGGAAATTTAGAGTTTCAGAGCTACGGGAATTAATAGATTATCACAGTTACCTAATAGTAAATTCCCATGTAATAGTACTTCCTTCTAACAGAAATGAAAGATGGTAATGGTAATATAGCGACAAGCCACATGAAATATAGCGGCTAAACAGGTATTCTTATTTTTGCCACTTTTTAATGAACTCTGTAAGTCATAATTTCTATGACTGAAGATGTGGGGGGGGGGGCAGGGGCTTGCTGACTGTGCATCTCGGTGTCGGGCTTTTGCAGCAGTAAATCACGATAACGCCATAAATTGGATCTCCTTGTAATGGTGGATTTAATGGGTTTGGGCTTCTAACACATAAAGAGACATCTAAATAATGCTGTACTGTTGCAGAATGTATAAATGGAAACGTTAACACTTCATGGCTATTTGTGAAGATGTGCTTTCTTAACCCAGTGCGTAGAAGCTTGGCAAGGACCAGTGCCAAAGACAAGTCTATGCTCTTTTGGAGTCAGATGTCTTCCCTGCCTGGAAAGGTATATTGCTTCTTCATCTTAGCAACAAAATAAATTGCAGTACATTTTTAACATCCACTGCAGAATGACCCTGCATGGTATGTTGCCTCATTTCAAAGTGTAAATTTTAATTATAAGTACCACAGCATTAGATTCAGTTCATATACTTTTTAAAAATATATATATTTATTAGTTTTCACACATACATAACCATTGGTTCATTTGTATACATATATTTTAGAGTCTTTTATCTATTTCCTAGCCAATTCAGTACAAATACTTAATAGCAATTGACTTGAAATTACTTTTTCCCTGGCACATGCATCTGATTTGTCTGACAATAGTTTCTCTTCAGGTAATTAGATTAGGGAAGAATATTTGAGGAATAGTAAAAAAATTACTATCTAGAACTTCATAAATCTGGGTAAAACTAATGATTGCTGGATCGTTAGCTGGATGTCTGGAACTGTAACTGTATGAGCCAGTTTGTTGTAGTGGTTAAGTGCGCGGACTCTAATCTGGGAGAACCGGGTTTGATTCCCCACTCCTCCACTCGCACCTGGCTGGATGACCTTGGGCAAGCCGTAGTTCTGGCACAGCTGTTCTTGAAAAAGAGCAGTTTCTGTCAGAGCTCTCTCAGCCCCACCTACCTCACAGGGTGTCTGTTGTGGGGAGGGGAAGGGAAAGGAGTTTGTAAGCCGCTCTGAGACAACTTTGGGTAGTGAAGAGCGGGGTATAAATCCAATCTCCTCCTCCTCCTCCTCCTCCTCCTCCTCCTCCTCTTCTTCCTCTTCTTCTTCCTCTTCCTCTTCTTCTTCTTCTTCTTCTATGAGGAGGGGACATTTTGACATAAAAGCATGGTTCAAAGTTCAGCCCTAGGGCTCAAAAAGCAGCACCAATGAAACAACATAAAATGAAGTTGCATTCACTGAAATTCACCAGCCTTTGCAAATGTACCATGATGGCAAAAGGACAAACTTTAGTCGTATGCAAGTAGGTATTCCAAAAGACGTTCAGGCATGGTGAGGTTTTAGTGGGAGGGACTCCCATCACTGAAGCTGCCTGGTTAGGGAGAAAGGCGGGTTATAAATTTTGTAAATAAATACTTAGCCGACTTGGTAACTATTCTATGTGAACCTGATGCCTACTTCACAACTTTAAGAAAGTGCCCTCAGAGGATTAAATTCTCAGGTAATATCTTACCCTTCATAGGTGTCTCTTGGGATGCTCATCCATAATGAAAAACATAAGGTGTATGTGTGCTTTTCCTATAGGTTGGAGCTCTGTTTGTATTGCCCTGCAGTGTGAGTGGAATGTTGATACCTTTGCCTACCCAATTAAGTACAAAAAAATGGAAGGAGTATATAGCCCAGAAACCTAAAGTCATCAGTGGTGAGTAAATGCATGCATGCATCTTTAAACCACATACTAAGTTTTCCTGTCTTTTGTAGTCAAGTTAACTGCCTGTTTTGGTTCCAGCTGTGCACAGGGGTGATTCTGACAATTTGTTGTGCATCTAGGCAGCCCTAGCTGTCGGTGGGCAAGTAGTCATTCAGACAAACATAATGCAGCCATTATAATCATGATTATGACCGGCAGCAATTGTTATGACTGCTGCTGTTAGAACAGCTTCCCGGACAAGGAAATCTGTGTTGGTATTGCCAGCAGCATTCATCCATTCTTTTTAAAACATTTAATTCCTTAACGAATTGCTTACTGCTTATTTCAAATACCTTATGATATTTTGCAGCTTAGCCATGCTCTGTGAAGGGTGGGATATAAATTGTTTAAATGAAAAAAAAAATCAGGACAGTGAAAGAGAGACATAGTCTCATTTCCTTTGGTTGTTAAACCAGGAAACGCCTTTGATTGTAAACTTCCTCATACAAATAAGGTTCGGACACCTGGAGGATCCTTTGATCTGAATACATGAAGAAGTTTGTTAATTATAAAGACGCAAGTGTGAGTGTGTGAGTATGTGAGTGTGTGTGTGTCAATGAAAGTCATTTGAGTACACTTGCTATTTTTTTAAAAAAACCCTCTGGCATTGACAATCCTAAATATAGAGATTTTTCACCTTGTATACCTGAAAAATTGTTGCTAACATTAATAAAGTACCTGATTTTTTTCAATTCATTCATGTTTCCCCCCCCCCCTTTTTCCTAGTTCCAGAAGTTGAACTAAAAGGAGAGACTTGCAACAATTATTTCTTAGTGCAGGGTGATGGCTGTGGAGGCTGTAAAGCAACATTGATCTATTCAGCCAATCAGATAAATGGCTCAGTCGGCCTTGCTGAAACAATTGGAAAACGGACAATAAACACTGAGGAAGCTGAAGAAAGTAAGTCGATTTTTGAGCATTTGATGGGGGTGGAAAACATTGACAGTGTTTGTGTCCTTAATTAGAAAGAACAAAATTCTACAGAGGATTTTTTTTCTTGAACTTAATAATGGGCACTTGGGGTCTTTAAAACTCTTTGAATTTCTTTGAAAATTAAAGATACTCAAGCATGTTAAGGTAAAGGTAAAGGTTCCCTTGCTCGAAAGCCAGTCGAATCCAACTCTAGGGTTGCGGGGCTCATCTCTGGTTCAAAGCCGAAGAGCCAGCGCTGTCCGAAGACGTTTCCGTGGTCATGTGGCCGGCCTGACTAAACACCAAGGCGCACGGAACGCTGTTACCTTCCCACCAAAGTGGTACCTATTTATCTACTTGCAATTTCTTGCTTTCAAACTGCTAGGTTGGCAGGAGCTGGAACTAGAGATGGGAGCTCACTCCATCTTGCGGCACCCGGGTCTCGAACTGCTGAACTACTGACCTTCCACAGCCTGCAGTTCAGCATCTTAACCACTTGAGCCACTGCAGCTCAAGCGTGTTACTTAAAAGTAAACTTCATAATCAACCTTTCCTATTCACTCTTTCAACCAGAATGTGATCTGTGATGCCTATGTACTGCTTTGTTCTCCTGTGTAGCTGCTGACTTACTGAGATGACAGTTGGAATCTCTGTTGAAGATACAATCCTGTTAGGGGTCATTCTTTCTCATTATGTTTTCCAGCACACGGGGCCTCTCATTCCCAAACCAGAGGTTCTGCCCAGCACAGCCTTAATTTTGTTGTTTTCTGAACATTGGTGACTCTTCTTTTCTCATTCACAACATCCTACAAAAATAGCTAGGCAGTGTAGTGCAGCAAAAAAGATACAATCTTTTACAACCATTTTAATATCCCCCTGGCTTCTGAATCATTTGGCAACATGGAATGGGTAGAGTGTAGTGATAGGAAAGTACTGGGGAGGGAAGATCCAAATTCAGATCCCTGCTTGGCTATGAAGTGCACTTGAGGGGAAGACCTTCAGCCAGTCTTCCAGTGTAACCTACCTCGCAGGGTTATTCTGAGGGTGAGTCTCTCTGAACGAATTTAAATATTTATGAAATAAAAATATGTTGCGGCACCTGCCTTTCTGAAAAAGTCATGATGCTCTAGTTCTCATGACGTGGCATGGTGTCTGCAGCAAGACCTGTGGGTACTTTAATATAAAGGGATTTGTGGGAGGCCCTAGCTCAGGGCTGGATCACATGCTGGGCATACAGAAGGTCCCAGGTTCAGTCTCTGGCTTCTCTAGTTGTCAGGGTTTCTGGGTAGTAGCATTATGTAAGAACTAGAGTATTGATTTCAGGGGTGGAAAATGGTCAGTAAAATCAGTAAAAGTCAGGTTTTTTTCATCTTGGTCAGTCATTTGTCAGTTTTTTAAAAAATTGGTCAGTAAAGTCAGTACTTCTTTGATTTTTGTGAATGCAGTTTGTGTTTTTCTGTTTTCATGACTGCATTTTTGGGGAAACATGATGACTTCCAGTGAGAAGACAGATTGTTTTCAGTTTAGGTATGAAGTACCTTCTTCACCCAAAGAGTGATTAACACTTGGAATTCACTGCCACAGGAAGTGGTGGCGGCTACAAGCATGGACGGCTTCAAAAGGGAATTAGATAGGCATATGGAGCAGAGGTCCATCAGTGGCAATTAGCCACAAGGTATAGATAGGGGCTCTGGGGCAAGTGATGCTCTGTCTTCTTGGTGCTTGGGGGGGTCAACAGTGGGAGGGCTTCTAATGTCCTGGCCCCACTGCTGGACCTCCTGATGGCACTGGTATTTCTGGCCACTGTGTGACACAGAGTGTTGGACTGGATGGGCCTTTGGCCTGATCCAACATTGGCATCTCTTATGTTCTTATGTTAAGTACTTTGAGGACTTTGTTCCTAAGAGTAAAAATGATTTGGGGAAATCTTCCACAAATTATAGAAACATAATTAACTTCTTAAAACATGAGGCAATGAAAGTAGAGGTAATGGATATTGTGGGATTCAACATGGCACAGCTCATGCTAGAAGGAGTTGAGAAAGCAATGGAAGAAGAGGACAAGGGAACAATGCTTGTAGATGCGGTGCAGAAAACTGTTGAGAACCGAAAGAATTCATGAATAACTTCATTTATTTCTTCAATTTATACCCTGCCCTCCCTGCCAGAGTGGGCTCAGGGTGGTTTACAAAGAGATTAAACATATAGGCAACAAATTATATACAATCTTAAAACAAATAATAAAACTCTACATTATCATAAAGTGCTAGTAAGTGATCAGGTACTTATAAGAATGTTTACAGAAGGCAGAACCAATACTAGTGTTGTAATCAGATGATCTATATTGGTGGTTGGCTCATCTTGGTCTCTATATTTAGGCAACAGCACAGGCTGCTGGTGGTAAGCCAAGGACCAGGGCACTGTCACTTCTCAGTTATTTAATGTTATTTGGTGCGGTTCCTTAGTCAAAGGCCTTGTGGAAGAGCTCCATCTTGCAGGCCCTGCAGAAATGTAAAAGGTCCCGAGGGCCCTGATCTCTTCTGGGAGCTCATTCCACCAGTACGGAGCTACCACTGAGAAGGCTCTGGTCCTGGTTGTGGCCAGCCTGGCACCTTTAAGATCTAGGAGGCCAATCAATTTTGTGACCCTGAGCGCAGTGCTCTCTGGGGAGCATGTGGGGAAAGGCATTATCTCAGGTATGTGGCCTCTGACCATGGGGCAGCCCCATGTAGAGAGCATTGCAGTACTCCAATCTCGAGGTGACCATTGCATGGATCACTGTCGCCAAGTCGTTGCATTCGAGGAAGAGAACCAACTGCCTAATCAGCCAGAGGTGGTAGAAAGGATCTAGAATGGAAGTGTCATCCAAAAAGCTCCGTAGCTGAATTGCCATGGCCCTCTCAATTATTTTGCCCAAATAGGGCAGATTGGAGACTGGCCTGTAATTAGCCAATTCAGCTAGATCCAGAGATGGCTTTTTCAGGAGGGGACGAACCACAGCTTCCTTGAGTGCCCTAGGGACCTGTCCTTCCGAGAGGGACTTTGATAATCTACCCTAGGGCATCTCGAAACCCATCACAGCCAGCTTTAATTAGCAATGATGGGCACGGGTCAAGGCAGCACATGGTAGGGCATACAGTTAAGAGCAGTTTGTCAACTTCTTCCAGGCTGAGCAGACTGAAATAATCCATAACCTGACTAGAAGACATACATGGAGCCTCGAGTTCACTTACTGTCTCAACTGTGGTGGGGAGGTCATGGCAGAGCGACAGAATTTTATCTGCAAAGTAGCTCTCAAAGGCCTCACAGCCAGTGTCCAATTCCCTAACATTTGGTCTGCCTTGTGGCAGAACAGTCATAGACCGAATTATTCTAAATAATTGGGCTGGGCATGAGCTTGCATAATACTCTGACTGCCATCTCATAGGAGCTCATATATGTCCTATAAGATGTTCTTTTGACTTCATCGCGGGCGCATTGCTACTGTCTCTCTAGCCATCTTAGCCTTTGCTTCATCAGCTGCAACTCCTGGGTAAACCAAGGAGCCAGCCTAGAGTGAGGGCGCAGAGGGCGTCGGGGAGCGATCTCATTGATGGCTGCCAAGAGTCAGCTGTGCCAATCCTCCACAAGCTCGTCTAACGAGCTGCCAGGGGGCATCGGATCCCGCAGGGCCATTTGAAGCCACATAGGGTCCATTTGGCTCCATGGGCAAGCTGAAATCTGCTCGCCGCCCAAACAGGGTTGGGCTGAAACATTCAGATGGGCCTTCAGGGCATGATGATCTGACCATGACACTGCTGAGGCAGTGAGCCGGTCCACTGTGACCCCTGCCGCGAAGATCAGATTGAGCGTGTGTCCGGCCCGGCGAGTGGGAGTCATTACATATTGGGAGAGTCCCAGCGCCACCACGGATGGCACTGGGTCCATCGCCTGAGTGGAGGCCACATTGTCTGGGCATTGAAATCACGCAGGACAATCGGTCTAGGGTGTTCCAATGCCCAGCCCAACACGGCCTCCACCAGGAATGGCAGGCTCCTGGCCGGTTCTTTTTTCATCAAAAAACCAAGTACAAGCAAAGACAAGTATTACCTTACAGTAATTATGTTTTGTTGTCATAATTATTACTTTATGTTTGGTTTTTAACATGTTTTTGCTGTTTTATTATCTTCAGTATGTGATTATTTTTAAAAGGGAATCTTTTTTTGCCTTCAATGTTGTACAATAATGAAAAAATTGTCCTCTGTTCTTTAAAAAAAATCAATAAAAAGGAGTGCAATCCTTTTATCTGGGTCACATCTAACTATGGGACTGGCTATGGGGATGGTGGAGGCCAGATAAAAATAATTTTTAATGTAGTCCTAGTTTTACATTTAAAATGCTAGCTTATCATTAGGCTGACATTACATTGTTCAGTAATTTATCAGTTTTTTGTCAGTATTTGGTCAGTTTTTTTGGAATTTTGGTCAGTAAAATCAGTATTTTTGACCCTCTGACTAGTTTCCACCCCTGTGATTCTAATCAGAATGGACAATAGTGACCTTGGTGGACCTGGTATAAGACGGCTTCTTATGTTTCTCACCCCTGAAAGTTAGGCTTTTGAATGAGTCAGCAGATGGTCCTTGATCTCCTTTGATGGCTGGCTTATTGCCACATGGAGGCTAAAGAATGAAATGTTCAAAAAGGTACACGGGGGATTTAAATACCCCGAAAAGCGCTTACCTCTGGCATTCATTGGAGGAGACGGTGAGCCTGAGAATCTCGTTGGGCCTGCCAGCAGTGGTGGCGTCGTTGTAGCCCAGGAGCCATGCTGGGCCTGGTGATTAAGTGGGAGGGGAAATCCTCCCCCCCCCCCTGATTCCGGCAGCCGCTGTGGGCCTGAGTGCCCAAGTGGTGGATGCCGACAGCCTAGGATCAGAAGAAGAGGACTCCAGCAGCCGCTCCAAAGCTTGGAAGCCGCCAGCCGGCCCAACCATGTTGGTGGAGTTTGGATGCTGCCGGTAGGCATGACTCTGGTAGTGGTGGAGCCTGGCAGCCATTCCAAGTATGGCTGTGGTGGCGGCGGAGCCCAGCAGACGCTCAGATCCCAGCCACGGTGGCAGCAGAGCCCGGTAGCTGCTCCTGGCCTGGCTGCAGCAGTGGCAGAGCCCGGCAGCCCTTCAGGGCGTTGCACTTGATAGTGATGGGGGGGGAGTGGAATCCCCCACCACAATTTTTTTTGGGGGGCCCCATTTGTCTGTCTACTAGTAGCAACGTATAGCCCCTATCTCTGGTAAGAAATCAAAAAGCTTCTGGGCGGCTGGGAGCTCCTTGCATGCCAGAGGCTGCTTGGGCTTGGAGCAGCTCCTAGACACCGCTGGCCAGGCCCAGAGGTGAATGATTGGGGGGGGGGGAGCAATAAGGGGGAATGGGATTCCCCCCCTTCTTGTCTCTCCTATGCTTCGCCTGTGGTCTGCTTGTGGCATATTCTGAATTGTACTACTGGCTGCTGGATGGGGAAGGAATAGCTATAGTCCAGCTTTTGGAGAAGAGATGGGGGTGGCTTCCGTTTCTGTTCCTGTGAAATGCTGAGGTTCTCTGAATTGGCCTTAGGTAACCCATTCTGTTTTTGAGTATTAAACCCACGCAAAACTATAACTGCGTTGGGTAAAACTTGTGTGATGTTTTACTCAAGGGTGTTAATCCAGGATGCTTAATGCCAACGTGACTCATATTGTTTTTATCATGTTGTGATTTGTTGGATTGTCTTTTGTCTCATGAAATCCCCCCCCCCTTACAGGTATGGCTGAAGAGATCATTAGATCTCTTCCATTTGTCAGTGGAGAACAGATCCTACAGAGGGAGAAGAAACTGGCTTGTATCCAGGCGTTAGCTTTGAATCAATGCCTAAGTAAGTAACTGAAAGAACAGCTGCCAGCCTGTGAGCTGATACATAACAATTTAATCATAATTTAGGTTTAATTTGACAGTATTTACGTTACACTCTTGGGGAAACAACATTCAAGCGGTGTTTTAAAGTGTTTTCATTAGGAAAATGTGGGATTATGCATCTAAGGAGTTTTCTGCCCGTATGATGTCTCTAAAAACAGATGTTGACTTCTCTCTGTTATTTTTGCAAGGAATGTTTTCCTGTTACTACTTTCAGAGCAGATACCCAACCAGAGGGTGAACCTGGAGCTAAGCTATACAATACAAGAGAAAAACTAAAACAAAACAATATTTTTTTAGTGAAATATGGGTTGTCAGGCCTTCAGCCAGACTCATCAGCTGTGCCTTCACCCAGGTGTTCAGTATGCAGACTGTGGGAGTTGATAGGGGTTAAAGAAATATGAGCTTGAAGAAATATATCCTGTCCCTTTAAAAAGTAAAGGTAAAGGTTTCCCTTGCTCAAAAACTAGTCAAATCCAACTTTAGGGAGCAGCGCTCATCTCCATTTCCGAACCCAAGAGCCAGCGCTGTCCGAAGACATTTCCGTGGTCATGTGGCTGGCATGACTAGACGCCAATGTGCACGGAACCTTCCCACTGAAGTGGTACCTATTCATCTATTTGCAGTTTCTTGCTTTTTAACTGTTAGGTTGCCAGGAGCTGGGGCCAGAGACGGGAGCTCACTCTGTCACGCAGCACTCGGGTCTCGAACTGCCGAACTACAGACCTTCCTGTCTGCAGCTCAGCGTCTTAACCTCTGAGCCACTGTGCCCCCACCCCGTCCCTTTACTAATAGCTTAATATGTAGAAATGGGCAACTGAAGCTTTTCGTAGCATGGAGGTGAATAACATTGTGCGAGCCCAATATTAAAGTGACAGAACATTTCTTTTGTCTTTAGGGATTTGGTAAGTCTAGTGGATGAAGATGCTCAGCTTTGTGCCGTAAAATGCCTTTACCTGCTGATTTTTGCATACCAAGCTGCAGCCAGTCGCTGTCATTGTAATAAATCTGAGCAAGAGATGATGGGGAAAGAAAGATTCCTTCTTTGCCTCAAGTGCAGAAAAGCAGTCTGTTACACTTAGCTGCAGCTACTGAGTAGACTGCAGACTTGTTGGTTCTTTGCTTAGAACCCATAGAAGAGCCGGACCAACTACACACACAAACCCCAAGTTAGGTTTATGAATCAAACTGGTTTATTTAGCACAACAGCACAATATACTAACAAGAGCAAATGATCAAGGAGAAACATACAAAACACATTCTGTTACTTCACCGTGAGGATCAAGGGTACCAACTGATGCTACAGGTGGCCTGGCCAGCCGGTCACTTCTGAGGCCATGTGCGGTCTTCTCAAGGATAGCAAGGAAGAAACTAGCACCCCACAGTCATGCTTAGCTCTGCTCCTGCTGTGGACAGAAAGCACAGAAGCGACTTTGGATTCTTAGGCTGATGTCTTTGCTCTCTGCGCTTCTCTCTTCCTGGATTGCTTTGTGTTCCCATTGGCTAGTTGGTCCACTTCTCAGGAGAAATGTTCCTATCACTTTCAGTGATCCCCTTGGAACTGTTCCTTCCGCACATGTTCTGACCACATCTGGTCTAGAGCAAGCATAGTTTCAAATGCACACGTGAAGAAAAGGCTTCAGCAAAATTTAGCAATCCCTAATCACTCCTGTTTCACCTTCCTCCAGACTATGATTACATCTTGCTGTTCTAAAATTGCTTTACCTAAGCCATTCTCCAATTTTCCAGACATTCATGCCAGTGAGCCCTCTAAACACCTTGGCCAGTTTCAACCACAACTCCTCTTTTCTCTTGTTTCCAGATATTTACCAGAGGTTTATTCCGTGTCTCTTAATCACAACTAAGCAACCTCCTATTTTGAAACATGAGCTCCTTTACGACTGTAATCTTCCCTTTCTCAGCTGGAGCTTTTGAGACTTTTTTTTAAAATTCAGCCAAAGTCTAACTTGGGACTGGTGTGGGGGTTCTCAGACCCAAAATTCAGGGGTTCACTTGTTGCAAGCAAATACCCTGTACAGGAGCAAGACTGATCCATAGTGAAAGTAAAGGGAATTCCATTGCTCGTGGTTCCATGGTATCCACAATCTTGTCACAGTTTCTGAACAGTAAATGCAAGATACCTTTGATATTTAGGTAATTCTGTCTTAATTCCAATGAGTTTTTTGCTCCGGAACTGTCCCCCCACCCAGAATATCACCTCACCAGTGGTTAAAAACCTTCTGCTATTGAACTTAGGGTGTTATCTTCCATTTTTCTACTGTATCCACAGCCTTCTTTAATAAAATAAACTGTCCCCCCATTGGTTTGTTATCTGCTTGAACTTTTATTACAGAGGAATTTCTGAGTATTTCTGAACATGTATGAAGAAAATTCATTGTTAATATTCTGCGGGGAGAGACAAATGGAAATTTTCTTTATAGATAAGGTAGCTTTTAAAGGTAATTCATATATGTAGCTCCAGCCCTTTTAAAACTAGCGGTGTTCTGTTTGTGGCTATGAAGTACATCGATAGCAATATCTGTACATCTAGTGTTTAAAGGTACCTTGTCAATGTTGTTGTAAAGCTCAGCAGTGCTTTTGTGTGTATGTGTGTGTGTTTTTAATAGAGAGGCAGCAAACAGCCAAACCATCCCTGATTGTTTCAGCTGAGGAACTGAAATGCATGTTAACACGAACCAGGGAACGTTTTTTAGAGTTGTGGAATGCTAGCCTTCCCAAGAGTGATTGTCCAATAACAGCTGTCAAAAACAAAGGTCACGGGACAAGTTGTGGTAGGTATCTTTTTTGTGTGTTATGTGGCTTTAATATCACCATTTGGAAAAATGCTGCCAATATCATGAAGTTACTTCTCCTTGATAGCATCAGTAGTTGTGTGCGTGTGTCACCACTTTGCTGACATTTAATTTGAATTCACTCAACAAGAACTAATCTTTGTTGCTTTCCTGTACACATGGTTGTCGTATACGTATAGTGTCAGATCAGTGTTTTCTTCTACTCTCATCAATTTAATGCAACATACCAGAGAGAAATAGGGAAGGGAGTTATCTTTGGAGGGGGATTGTAAAGTACCATGTCTTTCATAGTTTACTAGAAGATAAAATTATTAAGGTGTCTTCGTGATAGGCAGCACGGGTGCTATAGTTCGAATCTAATTCTTTCCCCCCTTCCCCCCCAAAAAAGATAGGGGCAGGGCTTGGATAGCAAGCTGATGCTTCAAGGCAATGCCTAGGGGGTAAATGGGAAATGTAGGGCATTATTCCTAATGATCTTGCACACAAAAATGTGTGCCTTTTTAATGAATTGCAAAGTAGTCTGATTTTGTTTTCTAATTCAAACCCCACATTTCGAAGTTGGCAAAAGCAGCTTAAAACAAAATTCAGATATGAAAGCACAAAACAATCAAACTTGCTACTTGCTACAAGTGCTACTAGTGTTATGATCTGCTGTTATTTTAAGTTGCTGTTCTGTCTTTACAGACCTTTTACTCCATTCAGGCATCTGATGGTATATTTTGCTCTCCAAATTGTAACTGGTAAATTATACATCTGTACTCTGATTACTCAAGATTTGTAGTAATGCAGTTACAGCAATAAGCTACATGCATAAGGGCATCAGTTGAGGATTTTATTTTATTCTCTTTCCTTAGGAAAGGTGGTATTCCAAGCAGAACTTGTTGACTGTATTAGTCATATTTTCAGTTCAATTAAATGTGCATGCCACATATAGAAACAAATTATAGTGATACATGCAGGCTAAGGAGTTGTGGAGAAAACTGCACATGCAACAGGCACTTGGAGAGGGATGCTAAGCATTATTATCGATATGTGAATGCCAGAAATTCCAAAGGCAAAATGTGGGAATCCAAAGATTTGGTTAATTGTAGGCATATCGCAGTCCTAAATGAGCAATGAAAATCAAGAGAATATGTTTATCCCAGAATGCAGAAGGGTCAAGGAAGGGAGTTATTGAGGGCCAGATTTGCATGACTGAATGCATGAGAAAGTTTAATGGGAACAAACATTTTCCTGAAAAAAACTATGGGTAGAAATGCTAGGCTCAAAAAATGAGACCAGACCACAAAGCATCCCCTCCCCTTCAAGAACTTTGATCAGCCCTTAAGGGGAAAAAAAAAAAATCAGGGAAGGTAGCCAAAAGAGAAAATGCTGTAATAATGGATGACTTCCAGCTAACTTTACATTTGACTTCATAAGTGCACAAGCCGGTTGTGACAGAGAGACTGTATTTCTAGACATGATAAATGACTTTCCCTTCAAACAGTTCAACATGGAGCCAGCTAGCGGGGGAATTGACCCTCGACTTAACCCTGAATAATGCCCAAGATCTGAAACAAGATGTAAGTGTTGTCAAAACTTGCTGGGAACAGTGACCACAGTGCCATCAGATTTAAACATCAATCTAAGTGGAAAGTTTCCCCAGAAAGTCTGACGTGTTGCATTTAATGTCAAAAGAGGAAAGTTCTAAGAAATAGTTCAGAAAGAAGTTGAAAGGGGGGGGGGAGTCAGGAAGGTCAGATCTCTTCAGGGCAGGGGAGGATTGGAGCTAGCCAACATAATGCCATTTTTAAAAGCTCAGTCCAAAGGGAGGACTGGAAATTGCTAGTTCATTAGCCTGATATTTGCTCAGGTAAATTGGGAGAAAGGTTTAATAAACAATAAAGTCAAGACTTGATGTAGAAAAATCGCTAGTGTCTACAAAAGAAAATACTGGGTCACCAAACTTTTAAAAGCTTTTTAGAGTGCAGATGCTATGACCCTGGTGGATAATATATATCTGAACCTCCAAAAAGTTTTTACAAGGCTTCATTGAAGCCCCTGAGTAAACTGTAATCCCTGTGGTTATAGGATAAGAGTATGGGCTTGGGGAGATAGAATGGGGTGAGAGATGATGTCATAATTCATAGCTTGTGTGGGAGGGGGAGATGTGGTGGTGGGAGAACAGCAGGCCAGGGAAAGGGAAGGGATACTGTGTACAGTTCTGGTCACCGCACCTCAAAAAAGATACTATAGCACTGGAAAAAGTGCAGAAAAGGGCAACTAAAAAAAGTGGATGGAACCTTCCCTATGAAGAAAAGTTAAAGAGCTTAGGGCTCCTTAGCTTGGGGAAACAACGATTGAGGGGTGACATGACAGAGGTTTACAAAAGTATGCTTGGGATAGAGGAAGTAGAGAAAGAAGTATTTTTCTCCCTTTCTCACAATACAAGAACTTGTGGGCACTCAATGAAATTAATGAGCAGTAAGCTAACTACTTCACCCGTAGAGTGATTAACACGTGGAATTCACTGCCACAGGAAGTGGCGGCGGCTACAAGCATAGGCAGCTTTAAGAGGGGATTGGATAAACATACAGAACAGAGGTCCATCAGGGGTCTTTAGCCACAGCGTATAGATAGAAGAGTATGGGGAATTTCAGACAGCCCATATATTCCGGTACAGGAACGGTTCCCTAACGGTTTCTGGTCTGACATTTTAGACAGAACCGTTTTAGTAACAGTTCCCTACTGGAATATATTTTCACTTTCAGAAGAAACGCTTCTGTCCCGTTCAGGAAACGTGGCTGAAGCGTTTTACCTGTAAACTGCTTCCAAGAGGTCTTCAGTTTCTTGTACCATTTCTGAAGCGTGATTTCCTGCCCTTTTTCGCCTGCGCGGGCGATCGCCATCTTTTTTTTGAACAGTCGCTTTAGAGCGCTATACCGCTATAACGCAACACCAAAACAGCACTATAGCAACCCCATTGGAATGCCTGGATTCCACTGGGATACATGAGATGGCTACATCTGCCACCTGGAAACAAGTACCCCATTGGATACAGCCTTCAAGCGGGAGATCAGGGCATCAGTGATTGGTGAGATAGATGTTGCTAACCCTTCCATGCCCAAAGATGAGTCAGGGGAGGGTGATGGGTTTCAACAAGGTAGTTATGGAGACCATGACTAATAGATCAGTAGCCTCTCACACAGTCACACAAAACCACTGTAACCAGACAAGCCTACCACTCACCAACTTCAACCCACAAAGATAAGGGGCTTGCCTCCCTGCCCTTTATACCTGACCCAGCTCTGTGCCAGTCACTTCCCAGCCAATCGCCTCTTGGCATGGATGGGTGCACATCAGGCTGGGTTAGCAACATTTGTCTCACCAATCACTGATGCCCTGATCTCCCACTTGAAGCCTGTATCCAATGGGGTACTTGTTTCCAGGTGGCAGATGTAGCCATCTCATATATCCCAGTGGAGTCCAGGCATTCCAATGGGGTTGCTATAGTGCTGTTTTGGTGTTGCGCTATAGCACTCTAAAACGTTAAAAAAAAAAAGACAGAGATCACCCGCGTGGGCAAAAAAGGGCGGGGAAAAGCGGTGCAGTCTGAAATGCCAAACCGTTTCAGAGACGGCTCTTTACCAGTAGGGGAAAGGCTTGTGTGAAATGGCAGCCCTGTACCGGTTTACTCTAAGACGGATCAATAACAGCTTAAAACCGGCTTTAAAAGGGTAATGTGAAATTTCTATGTCTGGAGCAAGTGATGCTCTGTATTCTTGGTGCTCAGGGGAGCCACAGTGGGGGGGCTTCTAACATTCTGGACCCACTGGTGGACCTTCTGATGGAACCTGGGCTTTGGCCACTGTGACACAGAGTGTTGGACTGGATGGGCCATTGGCCTGATCCAACATGGCCTTCTGTTATGTTCTTATGTAACTGTACCAACAACTCACCAGGCTGTAAAATCCTGCTCCTAAGTGCCAGGTCAGTCACAGGGAAAACAGAATCCATGCAGGATCTAATCCTAGATGAGAGGGCTGATCTGGCATGTATCACTGAGATTTGGTTAGGGGAGGGGTTAGCCTCTCTTGATTGTGCCTTCGTGGCCCCACCTACACTGGCTTCTAGTTTGTTTCCAGGCACAATTAAAGGTGCTGGGCTTGACCTTCAGAGCCCTATATGGTTTGGGGCCAGCATACCTGAAGGACCACCCTAATCCCTTATCAGCCTGCCCGACCGTTATCTTTGGAGGCCCCTGTCAAATGCCCCTGCCTTTGGAGATTAGGCAGGTCGCAACTGAGGAGAGGACCGTCTCGGTACTGGCACCAAAGTTCTGGAACTCCCTCCCCAGGGTGATTTACCTGTCCCCTTCTGTTGCCATCTTCTGCCAGTGGGTATTGTTGGGCACTTCCTCAATGATCCCTCCTTCCTGAACCAATGTCTTTATGTTTAGTATGTATTTTAACTCTGTTTTTAAACTCTTTTTTTAACGTTTTAATCATGTATGTTTTATGTGTTTTTATTGTAATGGTTTTATAACGCCAAAACCAAACAAAGGTTAGTGGAAAGGAGGGCCAATATTAAAACCTTTACATAAAAAGAGGTACATGTATTTATTAATAATATCAAATTAAAACATATATAGGGGCCCAATTATAACCAATATATATAAAACATAACCATAACCAGGGCTAAAAGAGTTGACCTGACGCGTTTCGGCCGAATCGGCCTTCCTCAGAGGTCATACAAGTGTGGCTAGATGGTAAATAGTTACATTCATAAAAACACAATCAGGAATACATACAAACTATAAATTCAACAAGGACCATAAAGTAAATTGTTCAGAAGTAAAATAACCAGGCACAGGATAAATATGCACATGAAACCTTTTTAGTGCAATCACTAGCCCAGTGATTATAAAATCCACCTATGGTCCACAAATAACCTTCTTTGATTGTGTTGCCACAATATTCACAAGTAAAAAGCAGTGTTTGCATGGTTTTATAACGTACATTTACAGTGGTTTTATAATGTCATTTTATAATTATTATAATTATAATAATTAATTATAAAAATTAAATAATGTATATTTTGTTATTATTATTTATTTATTTCATTCCGTTTCTATCCCGCCCTCCCCGCACGCAGGCTCAGGGCGGCTTACAAGGCACAAAGTGCTATAAAACAGATACATTAAAACCACAGAAGTTAAAAACAATTCACAACTCACAAGATACATGGAGGACTAGACTTACACACACTCCATTACATGTCAAGAAGATGTCCAAGATCGAAATCAGAAAAGGGGGACGGCATGAGCCATGATGTTCCGATTTCTCATTAGCCTACCCCGACAGTCCTGCTCCGCATATATGCGGTGGTGGTAGTGGCGGCGGCAGCCCCTATTCAAAAGCCTGGCGGAAGAGCTCCGTCTTACAGGCTCTGCAGAACTGTAAAAGGTCCCGCAGAGCCCTGATCTCCTCCGGGAGCTCATTCCACCAGATAGGGGCCGCCACCAAAAAGGACCTGG